ACTTTCAAGTCTAGATGCATTCCGTTCAAGTTTTTAATAGAAAGTATAAGCCAAAAGTCTAAGCCTATACCATTACATAATATCTTTTTTATTGAATTCCACATAGATAATCAGTTAATGGGCAGGTTTTTGAAGTATGAATAATCATCTAAATGTACCAATTTGTAATATCGATTTTTTTTTATAGAAAATATTATTTCTCTTTGATTGGCCTTACATAATGTAAATTTAATTTAGTTAGGATCCAATAATTAATCATTTCCGAATAATTAAAACATCAAAAAGTAGATACTCGCGAAGGAAGTTAATTAATGTACTAATTCGTTATAAGTCTTTGTTTTCACTTAAATTAAAAGTGGTACTCCATTGCTATCTAAGGGAGCTTTTACATAATTGTTTGTGATAAATTTTTCAGTTAATTGAATTAAATAAATAATAATTTTATTAATGAATTTTGTTGTTAAATTGCAAGATGTTAATTTGTAACTCTCATAAATGAATTGATCGTTAAGCAACTACAAAGTTGACCATCCCTTCTAAGAATTATCCTGTAGATATTGATGCTTTCTCCTGTTGAATGTCCTCGAAAAATTATGTAATCATCATATTTATAGTTGTAGGGAAATATTATGCGTTGCTTGTGATTGATCACCACTTTATTTTATTTTGAATACTTTGACAACTTTTGTTTGATCATTGTTTTGACCGGGATGCCAAGTCATCTTGACACGTGACATAAATTTAAGTCCACAAAATAGATATTGAAATTTGAATTTAATAAAATTGATTTATTTAATTGTGCAATTCAATTAACCAATCAACCCAAATAACATGAATTTAACTCAAATTTTATATGAATTAAGACCCAATAAATTCAGGGAGAAAACAAAACTAGACAATTTTTAAATAATTATTCCAAAACATGGCATCATCAACTCATTATCAATTATGACATATAAAATATTAACCCAAATAACGGATTATATATTATAATATAAATGAGGATCAATTAATATATATACCAATACATATGTATTTAATAAACCTTATTTATAAAAAAAAATACTTTCAATTTAATAAATTTATACCATGATTTATCACATAAATTTATTTTTTAAAATATTAATCCAAAAATTATGTTTATACCATAAAAGTACATGTTATATTTTAGATATAAAAAACTTATACCATAGTATATATTAGAAATATATATTCATATTTAATAAATAATTTTTTAAACAAAAAAAGAACTTTCGACATAGTAATTTATACCATGAGTATTTATTTCATAAATTTATACAACAAATATAACAGTAATACAAAAATAATGACATATTTTAGATATAAAAACTATAAAAAAAAATATGACAATAATCTATATATTTATACCATAAAAATACATGGTACATCTTAGATATAACAAGTTTATACCATATATATTACAAATAAAATTGTGTATGTAATAATACTATTAATACTAATTTTACATGAAAATGAGCAATGATATTAAAATCAATAATATATATA